TGTTGGTTATCGGCGCCCCTTTGGATTTTGGCGTCCTTTTCAAGTTCGGCGACTCTTTTGTTGTCGGCGGCCTCTTAAGTTTCGGCGCTCTTTTGGTTTTCGGCACATTCGGCGCCCCGCTGGTTGTCTGGGCCTTTTCTGGTTTTCGGCGCCCCTTTGGTTTTTGGCATTCTTTTGGTTTTCGGCGCCTTCTGGTCATCGGCGCCTCTTTCGCTTTTCGGCGCTCTTTCTGTTTTCGGCGCTGCATTGGTTTTCGGCGTCCTGTTGGTTGTCGGCGACCTTTTGGTTTTCGGTACCCCTTTGGTTTTCGGCGCTTCTTCGGTTTTCGGCGCTCCATTGGTTTTCGGCGCCCTTTCGGTTTTCGGCGTGCCTTCGGCGCCCTTTCGGTTGTCGGCGTTCCTTTGGTCAGCGGCGCGCCGGTTTGGTGTTCGCGCCTTTTCGTTTTTCGGAGGTCTTTTGGTTTTCGGCATTATTTTGGTTTTTGGCGCCCTTTTGGTCTTCGGCGTTTCTTCCTTAAGCCAAAGGGGGGGGGGCTTCCAAGCCCCCCCCCTCTTAGCCAGTAAGGGGGGAGGGTGGGTGGAGGCTTCTGGCAAGGGAGGTTCAATGGGGAGGGGGGTAGCTAAGCCTCTCCCCTTTGGAAAGGGAGAGGGGGGGTAGCTTCCGGAGCGAGAAAGATGGAAGGTGGGCTTCCGACAGGGGAGGTCCGAAGGTGTGGGGGAGTAGCTAAGCCTCCCCTTTCTTTGGAAAGGGAGGGGGGGTAACGCGAAGAGGGTGCCGGGGGGGCTTCCAGCAGGGGAAGTTTAATGGGGGGGTAGCTAAGGGGGGGACCCCCTTCTTGGGAGTGTTCCACAGGCGTGCTTTCTCATAGATAGTCCAGAACGGGAGGGAAGAATCGTCCAGAACGAAGGTCAAATTTTGCCTTGGAGGTGTTGGATCCGAGGTGATGGGTCCTCTCTGGGCGGAGTGGGGAAACTCGTCTCAAATGCGCTGACCTCGCCGCCGGTGCCCTGATTGCACACCGCCAGGCGATGTCGGTGTGGCGATCGATGGAGCGTTTTGACAACGGCAGCAAGAGGCGGAGTCGAGGGACGCAGCGCAGGGGGGACCGCGCCCAGGCCGTGCACCCCGCTCCTCAGGGAGCTCCGCTGGCCCTCCGCCGCGGCGGCGGCGGGCGCCGGCGGAGCCGCCAGCGGAGCCGCCGCCCGAGCCGCCCGAGCCTCTTCCAGGGCCGCGGGCGCGTACGGAGCGCCCCAGCCGCGGCGGCGGCCGAGGCGGCGGCCGAGGCAGCGGCCGCGGCGGCGGCCGAGGCGGCTCGGGGGGACCAAGGAGACTCAATCGGTCATGTTGCGTTAGACGTAGGGGCGGCGTTCGGGGGATAGGGCCAGGGGGGAATTCTCAACGCTTCGCGTATCCCAACCAGCCAGGTGCATTGCCTGTTGTAGCTAATTAGCTTCGCCTGCTGGCCCAGACGACGCCTACCGCTCCCTGTCCGCCGCCTGGGAGCCGCCGACCAAAAAAAGTATCCCCACCAGCTCAGCTCGGCGACTGCGAATCCGCGTCCGCCCGCGACCAAAAAAGTATCCCCACCAGCAGCTCAGTGCAGCTTGCAGCTTCTGAGGCGACGCTTAGGCAGCTTAATTGTTTAGGTTGCGCGGCTCTAGCCTGCTCCTGTTTTAATTCGTAGGCCCGCGCCCCGGACTTACGACTCGCCGCTTGCGCTCTCGCCTGCGGCTGCGACCAAAAAAAGTATCCGCACCAGCTTGCGCGGCCCGCTCGGACCTCACTCGCCGCTGGCGCCTTCGCCTGCGGTTGCGACAAAAGTAAAGTATCCCCACCAGCCCGCGTAGTTTTCGCCACCGTTGTGGCCCCCTTTTCCACGTGCTGTCTGCGCTTGACCTCCACTTTCACGACTTGTTTGACGGCGCGCGGCTGCCCGCGTCGCTCGCGAGCAAGAAAGTATCCCCACCAGCCCATCCAGAGACGATCGCCAGGTGAGTTGCCTAAATGAGGGCAGCGTGGAAACATACAGTGCGACTGCCGCCTTGGATGCCTTTTTGGGGGTGCGGGGTGGGCGGGAACATGTGTTATTGTTTTTGTTGTAGTTGGAGGGGGAGGAGGAGGAAAAGGAGGTGGAGGAGGAGGACGTGGAGGAGGAGGAGGAGGAGGACGAGGACGAGGATGAAGAAGAAGTGGAGGAGGAGGAGGACGAGGAGAGGATGATGATGATGATGATGATGATGATGATGATGATGATGATGATGATGATGATGATGATGATGATGATGATGATGATGATGATGATGATGAGGATGAGGATGAGGATGAGGATGAGGATGAGGATGAGGATGATGATGCTGCTGCTGCTGCTGATGATGATGATGATGATGATGAGGAGGAGGAGGAGGAGGAGGAGGAAGAGGAGGAGGAGGAGGAGGAGGAGAAGGAGGACAGCAGATCCACATATTTTACCGACGCATCGTCTTCATCAACGTCATCGGCGACCCCACACTCCAGCACTACATCGCCAGGCTCCGCACGCACCAATCCCGCTACGAAACCTACGTCAACAGCCTACGCGACTACCCACCTGGAACACAATTCAAGGAGCCGCCTCCCAAACAATTGGTAACACTACACACGGCCGTACCCAAGCCCAAGCCGCTTCTTACCGAAGAGGATCAGTCTACATAGCCAGCGCTGGCGGTTACCACGACATCCACATCCACATCCAGTACCTCTCCGCCCTCAATTATCGCAGAAGGGCCTGTATTAATCACAGTGGACTTACATAGTACAGCCAAGTACGCTACAGTCCCTAATTACTCTCCTTGCCTCTTCACCAACGATGCGCAACCCACCCCCTTTTTGTCCGCCGCGGCATGACAATCTGGTGGCGCCGTCTCCTCCAGTGCTTGCGGCATACCAGTGTACTTCTCAGACCCTGAGTACATACCTAAGCTGAGGCTTCCTATGTTCTTGAGGCGGGGTATGGGGGCATCATTTTGCACTCTGACGTATTTGAGGTGGGGTGGTGGGTTTCAGCGTGGTTCGGGGTTCGCCATCAAAACCTTGGGCAGCAACCCAAGAGCTGCACTGCGTAGCCTCTGTATATGCTTACCGCATTATTAACATTCATTGTGGCCAGCCTCAGCCTACAGGCCAGCCTGAGTAACAGACCACGCGCACAGCGGCCTCTTCCGTGGCCCTCCCTCCTGCTGAGGCGCAATAACCCCCTTTTGGCCGCCGCGGATTGACAATCTAGGGTCATCTTTAAAACCCTGGATGGCCACAGCAACACACAATAGGCACTTGCTTTTCTTTGCCTGCCAGCCATGCTCAAACTGACTTGGCCAGCCTCATCTTACATGCCAGCCGAGCAATAGGCAACCTGCACAGCGATCTCTCCGCCGTGGCCCGCCCAATCGCTGGTGCGCAGTACACCTCGTTGTGGCGTCGGACACGAGAAAGTAAGAAGCCAACATTCATTGATTCTAGTTTTTGTTGAAGGAGCTTGGCATCATGTGGCGTGCTGTGCGAGGCTAGAATGGCACTAGGAACCGTCTTGAGGTTGTCTTGGGCCGTCTCGGAGACATGTCGGTGGCCATCTTGAGCGACGTTGAGGTATCTTGAACTATCTTGGAGGCTGTCTTGGGCTGCCGAGGGCCCTCGTGGAGCCATCTTTGGCGCTTCGACGGCTCAACCCCCCGTCTCGCAGTCTCAGCATGTTCACGTCTTTGGATGGACAGCTACTGGGAACCAAAACGAACCCCATGTGCGCGACGCTGGGGCAATGTGCGCCAGGCGCGCCACGCGCGCCAGGCACCCCTGGGGCCCGCGCGTGCCAGGCACGCCTGGTGCGCCAGATGCGCCATTTGATCCGCGTGCGCCGGGTGTACCCATTCTCCAGCCGCGCCAGGTCCGCCACGTTCGGGGCACCGGCAGAGTGTGTCAGGTGCGCCTGCGCACGTGACAGCACACAAGCATGTCGTTCCCCGCCAACCTTGTCAGAAGCCACTGCCCATCGTTGTGTTTGGAGGGCCTGCGCACAGCAGGCCATGCGCCACCACCCCCGCCGTCCCTATCAAAACCAGTTGACAGTGATCGCGGGGCGGCCGCGCATGTTCCAGATTTTGCCGCGAGGTGTATCTTCTGTTGTTGTTTTTTGTCAGGGGTGGTAGCCCTGCGCGCATCAGCAACGTGCTGACATCCCCGCCGTCGCTGTCAAAAGACAATACAAAGTGCTCGCGGGCCATTCCGGCTCAAGCCATTCTGGGTTTGAGCCAAGGCCAGGTGTCTCTGAGCATTGGGCTAATCCATCCCCCGCCTGCTCCCCTCCCCGCGCGCAATGGTTATTAACGCTCGCTTGGCGCCATGCCCCGACGCCGCGGCCGCCCGCGAGGCCGAGAGCTGGACGCTGGCGCTGCTGACTCCCGAGGCAGCCGCCCGCTCCGGCCGCGCCGCTGCCCGAGCCCTCGCGAGGAGCGCGCGGCACTCCGGCGGCCGCCTGGGCGGGCAGAGCAGACGGCTGCGGAGCTGACCCCGCCTTGCTTCCTCTCCTGCGGCTGCAGCTGCGCCGCACCCACCGCTGCGTGCCGCCGTGACGCCTCCCGCCTCCGCGCCTCCCCGTCGCACTGCCGGACGGCCGCGACCGCCGTCACCTCCCTGGCCGCCTGGCCTCGCCCTCGGTCGGCACTGCGCTTTCCTGGCCTGCCTTGCTCCTCGTCCTCGCTGGCCCTTCTGGTGGCGCTTTGCCTCGCCTTGTCTCAACGTGCTGTCGCACTGGCCTGTCGGCGTACCTCTTCGCCTTCCCTCCCCCACCCACGCTTACCAGAAAGGGAGGACGCTGACGCCAGAGGAGGTCCGGATCGTGACGGTCAACAGGGAGACGGCCCTGAGGCAGGACATTTCGCGGACCCATGCGCAGTGCGCGGGGGCCGAGGCTGTACTGTGCATTGGAGGAACAGGAAGACCACGGGGGAGCAGGGGCAGGCCCGCGAGCGTCACGTCCAGAAGCTGCTGCTGCAGAAGGTGGCAACCTTGCAGGAGGGGTTGAAGGACGAGGCGGAGATGCAGCCGGCCTCGAGGCCGTTGTCCGAGCTGACGGACGAGAAGAAGACGCCGATGAAGCCAGTGCACCAGGACGAGGAGCCAGAGTTGAGGTTCGTGCCGAGAGCGGCCCTGGTGCGCCCGATCGAGAGCTTGATGTCGGTGAAGCCCGACCGGGCGGGAAGCACGGCGGGGCAGTCAGCTTTGACGGACGAGACGGCGCTGATGAGGTCAGAGCGGAAGGGCGAGACGGTTACGAAGACGACGCCGATGCTGAAGGCCGAGCTGCGGGACGAGACGACGATGAAGTCAGACCTGCAGGACGGGGCGGTGGGGCTGACGCCAGACCCCTCAGCGCTGCAACCGGTGACCATCTCCAGCCCGCTGCTGAAGTTGAAGCCGACGTCGCTGAGGCCGAAGTCGCAGCAGGGCCACGACGATGAGCTTCTCCCCGAGCCCTCGGGGACATGCGAGAGCGAACCCGATTGGAGCGCCTGCTGGCGCCCTGCGGCCCGCCAGGCAGTACCACGACGAGGTCGGCCTCCAGAAGTGCTTCTCCATTTTTGGCCCCGGCGGGATCGCTGCAGCCGCGCCCCGCGACGCTCCCCATATCTTCTCTGGGCAGTTCCGTTACGCACTCCACCTCAAGTTCTGCCCAGTTGTTCACGCTGCGTGTCCTCTGGGCAGCACCGTTGCGACTGCCACTTCCGGGCTCATTCCGTTTTTCGTGCTGGACGCGGACGAAGTTGCGTTGTAGGTTTCGTCTTCTTCCATGAACGCCCCCATCGATGCCCCCTGTGACCTCCTCTTGGCACGGTACAACGACTAGATCGTAGGCCCGCTGGGTACTCTGAGCCTCGAGCCTGCTGCGGACGTTGAAAGGGCAGCGGTGGACCCCGAGATGGAGGCGGCAACGGCCACGGAGACGCCCCTCCCCACGACGCCCTACCCGACGCCCCTGGACGCTCCACTTGACGTCTCACCCCAGCTGAGCAGCGGTTGGCACAGTTTGGCCACCGGCGGGCGGGCCGCGCGAATCCGCGAGCCGCGAGCCCGCTGAGCCTATCGACGCGGCGCCCGAGTCACGGCTGCCCCCCCTCCCCACCGAAGGCTGGGCCGATCTCGACCCGATCGCTCCGATTCGGTCCGCCCGCCTGGTTCGATTCGACTGCGCCTCCGTGCCGGCGCGACCCGAGTCGACGCGCATGTGGATTCGATCAGGGGGAGGAGGGGGAGGAGGGGGAGGAGGGGGAGGGGGAGGAGGGGGAGGAGGGGGGGGGGGGTCGATGAGGGGAAGAGAGGAGGAGGAAGGAGGAGGAGGAGGAAAGAGGAGGAGGAGGAGGAGGAGGAGGAGGAGGAGGAGGAGGAGGCGGCCGAATCCGATGCGACGTCCTGCCGAAGGCGGGCTACCGCCTCCCGCGGCAGCGGGGCGCGCGGGGAGCCGGGCCCGGCGGCGCCGGAGGGGGGGCGCCGCGGCCGCCGCAGCGGGCCAGGCGCACGCCCGCCGTGCGGCCTGCGGCGGGCGGCGTTGCCTCCCCTCCCCTCCTCCTCCTCCTCCTCCTCCTCCTCCTCCTCCCTCCTCCTTCCTCCCCCCATCTCCTCCTTCTCCTCCCCTCCTCCTCCTCCTCCTCCTCCTCCTCCTCCTCCTCTGCCAAAGAACCACGCACGAAACCGAAAAAAGCACAGGAAGTGGACGTCCGAGCGATGGCCAGCTGCCGCCGGGCGGCTTCCCCGCTGCCGATGCTGCTGCGCTCCAGTCGAGGGGGGGAGGCACCCTTTGGAGGGGGAAGCGGTGCCCGCTCCGTTCCCTCGGGCCCCCTTTTGTTGGCCTCCTGGGCCGCCGGCGTCGGCTTGGCGGCTTCCCCGCTGCTGATGCTGCTGCGCTCCCGTCGAGGGGGGGAGCACCCTTCGGAGGGGGAAGCGGTGCCCGTTCCTCCCTGTGCCGTTTCCTCGGGCCCCCTTTTTTCGGCCTCCTGGGCTGCCGTCGTCGCCACCGCTGAGTTCCCCTCGAAATTCTTGTCGGAACGCATCCAGGGAGAGGTCTGGGGAGCAGCGGCAATTTTACCGGTAGCTCCCCAACATTGACCATGACCATGACGTGGCGGGATGTCATCGACGCCGATTTTGGTTATGGCCCGTGTTTGCCGTCGCCGAGGATGATCCACGCATTGACGCTGACCAAGACGGATGGTGACCAAGATCGGCACGACGTTTCTGCGTCCAGTCTTGGTCTTTGCCTTCCCGTCCATCTAGGCCTCCCAAATCGGGTCCGAGTATATGGGATCGGCATCGCCGATGCATCGACGATGCGGCTCGGCGTGAAGACATTCCCCACGTCGATGGCAGTGATGCGTCGCCGACGTCGCCGATGCATTGGCGATGCATTGGCTTCCCCGCTCCGGCTGCAACTGCTCCTCTCGTGGGGATCCAGGAGGGGAATGGCGAGCAGGGGGGTACAGATCCCATGGCCGAGGCCATGATACCTCTCTGGATTTCATGGCCCCCCCTCTCCTTCTCTCAGCACGCCCCCCCGACTCTCCCGTCCGCGCGCATGCCTCGGGCCACGTTTTGCGCCTTCCCCCCTTCGCGGAGGCCCCCCTTCTGGACGTCCCTGATCCTCACCGGCCTCGGTTCGACATCTCCGAGAAGGGCGAGTTGAGACAACGGGGTTCTGGCCTTCGGGGGTCCCCCTCGTCGCCACGGCTGGACACGGCGTTCCCGCTCCTGCTCAGCATTGCTTAACTGATCCCCATCCCGACTGGGCCATGGTATACCAGCCTCACAATCCCACCACCCCAGTTAGGGGGAGGCCCCTCGAAACCCAACGGGAGCAGCCGACATCCCCATCTGGGGGGGTACATCGGCCAGTGGGGCCCAGGCCACGCCAGTGGGGACTGGGATCGGTCAAAGGATGCTCAGCTGCTGCTGCTGCTGCTGCTGTTGCTGCTGCTCCTCCTCCTCCTCCTCCTCCTCCTCCTCCTCCTCCTCTTACTCCTCTTACTCCTCCTCCTCCTCCTCCTCCTCCTCCTCCTCCTCCTCCTCGTCTTCGGCCTCAGTTCGATTCTCAGAGGAGGGCCAGTTGAGACAACGGCAGCTGGCCTTTGGAGGGGGGGGCCCCCTTCGCCACCGCTGGACGCAGCTCGGAAAGCTGGTGCGCTTGGACCCCGAGAGGACCCATGCTGGGCTGCCGTCGTCTCAACTCGCCCTGCTCCGAGCTCCTCCGCTCCTGCTCCTGCTGCTGGTGCTGCTCCGCGGGCTCGGTTCGGTTCGGACGTGCGCAGCGAGGCTCGAAACGCAATCAGAGAGAGGGACGAGGGCGAAGGCCAGCCACGCGCAGAAGGGGGTTGGAGGGAGCGGGGGGGGGGGTCGCAGAAATTCCTGCTTCTCCCAAGGCGTGGGCATTATCTATGGATGTAGAGTCGTCGCCTTCCAAAAAAACAGTGTCCTTCGGAGCAGCCCTCCCCCTCCCCCCGCCCTAGTGCACGCCGCCAAGGAGGAGCGAGGAGAGGTCGGTAGCAGGGGCAGACATTGGCCAGCCGCCAGCGCCAGAGGCGCAGATCTCTCACGATGGACACGGGGGCCGTGCTGAGGATCTCTCCTCTTGCTCCTCCTTCGTAGGTTAGACCAACATAAGAATCAAGGCTGTTGCGTTCAACCTCCTCCTCCTCGGCCTCGGGGAGTGTCCTCGGCGCTGCCCGTGCACCCACCCACCCCCGGGCAGCCTGGACCGCCTGGAAGGGCGGAGCACGGCCATGTCTTTTGGTGGCTAGGTGGAGGGGGGGAAGCGGGTGTCGTGTCGTGGCCGTGGGCTCTGCCGGTGATTCAGATTCGATCCTGATTCCGCATGGATCAGCTGAATACGAATGGCCTGGAGCAGATATCCTGCAAGTTGGGCCTGGCCAGCCACTGTTGCTGGCCAGCGCTCACTGAGCGACCCCCCCCCCGTGGCGCCGCACATGCGACGGAAGGACAGCGGGGGGAGGTTTACATCAATGATGGTGATGAGGAGGAGTAGGAGGCGTTGGCAGTCAGTTGCGGCGCTTGGCATCACCCCCCCACGTCCCGCATGACGGTGGGGAGTGGAAGGGTGCAGCTCCCTTGGCTGTTGGAGCCCCGCGTAGCCTAGGAGGCGGTCGGACTCGTGATGCGGACCCCTGTCTGGCGTCGTTGTCGGAAGTAGGGGGGGCATCGTGCTGGGTGTGTCTTGTGGCGTCCACGTTTTTTGATCTCGATCATGTGGACGACGCCGTAGGAGCTGTCGTGGTATGACTCCATGCGCCGCTCGCCTACACTTGCGTAGGTTTGCTGTGCACGTACTGGACCGCCCTTCCGCGTGCAAAATATCCAGCAGCTTTCGGCAAGTCCCGCCACCGTGCCAGCCCAGCACCTTGGGTGGGGATTGACAGGAAGCCGTAACGCGTGACACTTCGTGTCTCGAGGCTTGGGGGAACCGTGACATGCGACATGTTTTATGCTTGATGCTGGTGATGAAAATGCATATGATGGAGATGACGATGACGATGAGCGTGATGATGCTGCTGCTGATGATGATTACGATGATGATGTTGGTGGTGATGATGATGAGGAGGAATACGTGCGAAGGAGGATTGTGGCGGACAAGGGGGATATAGACCATGATTATTGTGATGACGATGATGTTGAAGATGATAAGCATGGTGGTGTTGTGTATGATGATGATGACGACTAGAATGATGATACGGGTGATGATGATGACGATGATGATGACGTTGATGATGCTGCTGCTGCTGATGATGATGATGACGATCTTGCTGCTAATGACAGCGACGGAGACGTCGATGCTGATGGTGCTGATGATGGTGATGGTGATGATGATCCTGATGATGCTGATGAAGGTGATGGAAATACATATTATGATGATAGTGATGGTGGTGATGGTGGTGGTGATGGTGAGGACGATGATGAGGATGAGGACGATGATGAGGACGAGGATGTCGGTGTAGATGATGATAATGATGATGATGATGATGCTGATGATGATGATGATGATGATGATGATGATGATGATGAGGGTGGGGATGCTGATGATGATGCTGCTGATGATTATGACGATGATGGTGATGGTGATGGTGATGGTGATGAGGAAGATGTTGCTGCTGATGATGATGATGATGACGATCATGATTATGATAATGGTGATGGTGAGTATGCTGTTGTTGCTGATGATCATGATGATGATGATGATGTTGTTGATGATGCTGCTGATGGTGGTGGTGCTGATAATGGTGATGATGATGTTATGGTGATAGTGATGATGCGGATGCTGATCATGATGATGACGATGGTGGTGGTGGTGGTGATGGCCATGATCATACTGATGGCGATGTTGATGATGATGATGGTTACGATGATGATTGTTATGAGGATGATGATGGTGGTGGTGATGATGATTTTGATGATGTTGATGATGATGGTGATGGAGGAGGAGGAGGAGGAGGAGCAGGAGGAGGAGGAGGAGGAGGAGGAGGAGGACTTGAATTGGTATCGCTTAAGGGGCGCCTTCACCCCATGCAATATGGCCTGCGGCCATCTCCACCCCAGGGTTGACAGGGGGTCCTGCGCCACAGCAGGCCACCCTGGGGGTGACAGGAAGAACGGACCTCCCCAGAGCCCAACAACTTCTAGCTGGATCGAGGGAAGACGCGTGTCAGACCTAAGTGTGCAATGTAAGCTGCTGTGTTGCATCGCACGGCACGCCCACTCCATGCGCGCGATCCC